TTTCTTCAATATATTTCCCAACATGCCATGGGTGATTACCTTGCGCAGATACGTACGTTGACTGTTTACAAGTGCAACCTATCGATGGTCTGTGAAGTTTATCCTTTTTCATTGATTGGAATGAAACACCTTCGTTCCCTTACCTTACACTCATGCACAGTGACTGGAGGAAATCTAGGTCAAATTTATCATCAGTCGGAAAGGCAGGCAACTTGACTGAATTGGACCTTTCTAACAATCTGGGTTTGGAAGATAATGCAGAAAACTGGGTCTCCTGTTTGCAGACAATTATTCACCTGCAATCACTCACATTATGTTCTTGCCATATTAATGTTCACGATTTCACACACATTGTAGCATCACTTGCAGCCTTGGTAGGCCTCACATGTCTCATCCTTTCCAAGAATGAGAAATTGGGTGGCACTGCAAACGTATGGGCTCCTCAGTTGAAAGCTCTCAAACACCTCAGGGAACTCGACCTAAGTAGTTGCAGCATAGAAGCACAAGATATACAGCATATTGTATTATCTGGCGAGGGGCTGGTCAAACTGGATCTTTCAGGCAACCACAAGTTAGGTAGCTTTGCAGACATTTGGACCCTCACTTGCGATATCTGAGAAACCTTAGGGAACTCATTTTGAGTTCGTGTGATATAAATAAACTAGACATGGCAGAGCTGGCATTGTCGATGGGAGGGTTGGAAAACTTAACTGACCTTGACCTTTCACACAACAAGGACTTGAGTGGCAACGCGAAAACTTGGGCTTCTTGTTTGAAGACCCTGACTCATCTTAGGAGCCTAGAAATGCAGGACTGTGGTACAGAAAGCCGCGATGTCAAGTATCTAGCTAAAGCAATTAGTGAAATGGGTAATCTGATGGACTGTAATTTTAGTGGTAGCCAAGTGGAGCTCGATGTTAGTTCGTCGGACAGTCTCATACGTCTTACAATAAGGAGCGGTTCATTTAGAACAGGCGACATTGGTGAGGATATGGCAGACATTTTGCAGTCGTTGTGTAATCGGGTGGATTTAGTCAGTTTGATCCTTGAGAACATTTATGGTCTGAGTGATTCTGTGACCTTATGGACCCCAGTCTTGAGTAAACTGACACACCTTGAGGAGCTGGAGCTCTATGGCTGCTCACTGCAAAGCACAGACATTGAACACCTTGCGGTAGCATTGAGTCAAATGCCAGCTTTGAGAGAGCTCTCTCTAAAAGACAATTGGTCTCTAGGGGGCTCTGCAGAATCATGGGCACCCAGTTTGGAAAAGTTAAGATATGTTCGTCATCTAAACCTAGATAACTGCGCCCTGACAGAAGAGGACATGAGACACATTCATGAGGTACGAGAAAGATGTAGTCCTTGGAAACTGAGCTGTGGATTGTATGGATTGATTGAACGGTCTATGACTCACGATTGGTTATAAAGACGAATAAGTACGATTCAATGCCAGGAGCCACGTTGGTCTAGTGAGGTCCACAGTCACCCGGGGAACACTGGGGAGAACAGAAATTCAAGGCATTATGAGAGAGTCTGTAAGTTCTAAGATCCTAGTCCCTTGCACGATTAGTGAAGTTAAACGACGGGGATTAATTCATAGCTTCGCCATCAGGTAACTTTGAGCAAGCCTCTCTTAGGCAATCGAAGTGCTCATTGAATGATAAATTACATAAAGCTCCTTTCTTTGAACATATGATTTTTTTTTAGTTTGAACAGGTTATTCCAAAATTTATTACACTATTTACAGCTGAGAAGTTTGCGTTTTGGATCTAGTGTTGCGAGATACCTTTCAAATGCCCTCCTGGAAATTTTCAAATTATGCGCATAGAAGCTTAAGACCTTGCCAGACCTTCCAACATTTTTTATATGTTTATAAGGTCACTTGAGCCAGAAAGCAATTTGTCGTGGTTTTGCATTTTACAGTGTTTAAGTTCTATGCATTCTTATTTGTATAGTATGTAGACCTATGTAAGAATGTAGACTCATATCATGCTTGCCTGACAGAAACAGTAAACACGATACTACTTAGAGCAACGTGGCTTCTTTTTTCTTTTTAAATTAAGTAAACAGTAATGCAAATACGCGAATTTCATGCTTTCATAATTTTGATTTATATGTATTCCTTTATTCCGAAATCAGTTTTGAATAATGTACTTAACGAGAAGAAAAATGTACAAATTGACAGGAAAAATCATGCATTTTAACAACTTTTTCATTTTTTAGACCTTCATTTATACATACTTCTTGAAAGTTCAACGTTTTGGGATGACGTTTCACTCTTAAATGCCATTCAACCTGAAAACGCTTGGTCTGATTTTCTGAAATTTAATTTCAAAGGTTGTGCAACGTTCAGGAAAATTTCCCACAGATTAAGTTTTCGACAATTTATGCAGGTATTACCTTGGTTTCAATTCAAGGCGGTTGATTTCAGAATAAGACTAATTCATGTCAATTTATCAGCCTATCAGAGATGAGCTTGTCTGCTCAAAGGTATTTACAAAACGCACTTGACATTCCTTTGGAAGTACCGTTTATGATAATTTTGAGCGGTCTAACACTCGTTTCAGACTGACGTTCTAGGGTCGCGCCGAACCAAATGGAATTAAGGGCGATTGGGGTAGACCCAATACAATTTTGGTTTCATACAGGCAAACTTAATAAATACATTTTCACTGGGTTTGGCCAGTGAATAGAGCGACGCGACGTCTAAAACCAAGTCTCTTGGATGCCGTGTCGAGCGCCTCATGCCTGGTTGCTCCTAATTGTTTCAGACGTTTTTTGAACTTCTGCCGTACGAAATTCAAACAGTGCTTTTAATTTGGCTCGGTGCAACCCTAGAACACCTGTCTGAAACGGTGTAAGAGTATATCTAATGTGAATTAGAAATCAACGTAAGCTGCACTGATTACCTCAGTTATTCCTTTGATAACTTTTAAACACATTTAAAATAAAACATGTCTTCCCAAAAGAGTTTCAAAACTGTATGAAGCTCAAGTCACAGATGACCAAGGAACTACCAATTTCAATAATTATATAATTTATATAAGAAAAAAATACAATAGCGAAAACAAGAGTTTTGCAACGTTTCGGAAAAATGCTATAAATTTACTAAAGCCAAGATTTGTCACAAAACAACAGTACTGAAAGAAGTTGAAGCGTAAACAGATGAAAACTACTACCTTGAATGTAATATTTGGGGACATGAGAACAATGGAAGATATTGTTGATGCTTTTACTGATCATTTAAATTCACTAAACAGTACTTCAAAGGATGTCGTAAGGCTATTGTGAAACTTATTTGTGATCTTATTTATACCAAGAATTGGGAGCAAGTAGTACCGTACCGTAGTACGTTGAAAACAGTTTATATTTTACACAAAAGTAATTTATGTCGTGTTACGCTTCGACCTTCCTTCCATAAAAGACCTTTTTATTGTTTATCATGTTTGAAGATCGTCCCCTGTTGCCCATATCATACTCGACACATACCCCATGCTTAGTGTCCGACGACTGGCCATCAGTAACTTCGGGAATAAAAGCG